TATTACCCCAGTCCCAAGTATACTTGTGTAGTTAATTCCCATGTGATCATTGTTATCACTGCCTACACTTAGTCACTGTTTCACTCCACCTGTATATAGCAACTGAACTCCACACCAGTGAGTATTCACGTTTTTCACTTTTTCACTAATAAATACCTGACACACACATCTGGTGCCCGTGTTGTATCTGTTTTGGGTCTATACGGCTCACACCGTGACAAGGACTTCAACACTGCATCTAAATGCTGAAGTACTTTTTACTCAGTGATATTTACAGAAAGAACTGTTTGAAGAAACTTAATGTGCAGAGAGAAAATCTCCTGAACTCAACCTTTACTACAATCTCTGTGGACACGGGCAACTGGAGACCTGATGGTCCGACAGGCGTTCCTGTTATACTTCTTTACAATCAGAGTCAACAGTAGAGAAATCTGACTGTGCTTCAGCACAACAAGAATAAAAAGCATTTCAAAAATGTACCTGCTGATGCACTTTAAATGTCGTCTGAGCAGAGAATCACTTTTGCTTTGCTGTGTAGTGTGGGACAGCACAAAAGCACTGAGGACTCTTTTGTTGGTATTTAGAGAATTCAGACAGCTCTGACCCTTCAGTCTCACTTCACTCGGTGTAAAACATTTATAACGGATCATTTATTTCCCATGATACTGCCTGTATCCACCCACTGAAAATGGACGTGGATGGTTCATTGACTGCAAGCAGGCTGGTTGCCATGTGTGCCAGAATAGGGAAGCAGCAGAAATCTAAAAAACCTGCAGATAGTGGCTTCAGTGACACTGTTCCTGTCACTCAGTTTCACTTCAGCTCTTTGTATGTTGGCTGGTAGATGGTACAACAACAGCACAGACAGGAGTGGCCCACAGACTGACCACGTTTACTGTTTCTCTTCATTTATTGGTTGGTCTGCACAGGGACTACAGATGAGGCCAAATCTGATATTTTTACATTTTTGTAATTTTATAAACTGTGAAATAAAAACTTGATAAGGTTTCATTTGATCAGTGTTGTTCTTCTACTGTGGTGTTTGTGATGCTTCTGATGTGTTTGAGGCTGAATGTGGGCTTCAGGAAAGTTCGATTTAAGACTTTTTAAAACTTCATAACGTCACAGAGAATTAAAATTAGGACCAATTTAAAAAGTTTGACAGAAACTTTGGCATGTATGTCTACGCTTTGTTTCTGTCCTTTGGTTCATTAAATGCCTCAGAGCCTGCAGAAACAAACTGTCTCACACATTAAAATGTGAATTTGTTTGCACACAGACAAAAACATCTTCCTCCTCTACACCGATTTAACAAGATAAATTGGATTACAACAGTTTGTGCTGCCAATAAAAATAAATAAATCCCACCACATTCACTGAAACCTCATCAGTTAAAACTAACATATTATGTTTAATAATTGAGAATTATATTTGCTTTTACTGAAGTCAGTTTCTTTGCATAATAAGAATATTATCAGTGGTGCCTGGTGATGACCACACTGAGCTTTTTCCCCCCATACTTACATACATCATGTCCTGTTTTCCTCTGTGACCCTCGTGGCCTCAGAACAATCCTGCTGTGCAGCTCTCTGCTGTTGTCCTGTGAAAGCAGCAGATCCTTAATGCAGACTTCTGTTTGTGTCATTAGAAGCTCTGAGTACTGGTTTATCACAGTCCACACGGAGCTGTTTAGAGTCCACTTCAGGAGTGACGGCTGCCACAGTGTCCTGCTTACCTGACCTCTGCTGGATTGTTGGTTCAGGCCACATAACACCAGGTTATCATATCAGATCTTTATTTCACAGAGACTTTAAATCAGCAGGAATCTAGATGAAGCCCTGAAACAGCAACATGACCTCATTGATGGGCAGGATAACTTGGCGTTGAGGAGTTTGCCTCAGGGCTCCTCTGCTCAGACGCCAGCATGCTGTCTCCAAACCAGGACAAAACATAGAAACCTGTCTGTGGCCGTGTATCCAGCACTGGGCCACGGTATGTATGTAGTATGTGGGCAGGGTGAAATGTACCGTGGTACTCCTTTTCACACTCCACAGGTTATCAGGTATGTTGGAGTTGTCCACCTCAGTATCAGGCTCAGAGCTGCTGAATCCAAACTCCTCTCCTGTCATAAAGGCCACCTGGTGAATAATTCCTCATATCCTGTATCTGATTGGTCTGTGGGAATGTGTCGATTTTGAACTTTAAAGATCAGCAAATATCTGAGCTCACAGTTTTCTCCCTCTCTTTTCACACATGCAGTGTTTCAGATATTCATGAATACAGTCTTCTGAATATTAACTTCTGTTAAATAGGCAAAAAGTAAAGTGTGATGAAACTAAGTCTCTTTCATTTTAGTAAAAGAACATCAACAAACGTATCTGATAAGAGGAGGAGTGCAGTTTCCTCATACTTTCCATCCTGTTCATCCACTTTTCTGTTAGCCACGCCCCCACAGGTGAACCAGCAAATCACTGCCTCCGTTCTCACAAACGTCTGATCTGTGGCCGGCCGGACTTCATTCCACAGATGTGCTTTAACAAAGGTGAAGCTGAACTCTGAGCTGTGACAGTGAAGCAGTGTGAGAGTGTCAGTAGATGATCAGCAGAGGAAAGTGAAGCTGCTGTGAGCTGATGTCCTGAAGGGCTTTTAAAGAGTCTCTGAGTTTGACAGGAACATGAAGATGTTTGTGGTGTTTGTGATCCTCCTGCACGGTAAGTACACCTTCCTCTCTCTGCTCTCATCATCAGCTTTTCTTTCATCTCTCTCTCTTTAATGTGTTGAAGTGCAGCAGGAGGAGATTTCCATCAAACACTGGATTCTGATTCAGATCAAATAATACGACTGCTGGAAGTTTCAATAACTACGTACTTTATCAAAATTTTTCATAGTTTACCATGTTTCTGTTTTTCTCTTTGTTCATTAAATTTAGTTCGTTCACACGTTTGGTTACAGTGTTGTACTGTGCAGTTTCAACCGGAGCTATTACTTCAATTTCTCTTTAACTCTTCACACATTAGCTTTAATTAGCTTCATGAGTCATTTGTAGTCTGCCTACGTCAGTGTAGAAACATTTATACATATGAAAAATAAACTGTGCCTATTAGAAGCAGTTAGACACTGATAAGATTCAACTGGTTCAGACTTAAAACTAAACCTTTATTCTAGTCTTTGTGCACATGGGCAACTGGAGACCTGATGGTTCAACAGTCGATCCTGTTATAGTTCCATAAAATGTTAAATGTAAATTGTCAGTGGACATCTGTGTGTTCACCATGTAATGAAGAGATTTATGTCAGGTCTGAGTGGCCCTGAGAGGCAGGATTAGAGGGTTAATGAGGTTCTGTCAGGTTTAACTCTGAGTTCAATGAAATGAAGTGATCCACTTCATACCAGTGTCAGGACTAGAGATCAAAGTTCTCTGGAAAACAGTGATTCTCCATCAACCTGCAAACAGCGAGAGCCTCTATGGTTTTTATATAGAGTCCACACTGACAAACTAAAGATTATTTATTTTTTATATGGAATATAGAGTCTTAATAACAGTGTAATTCCTCCTCGTATGGACTTATTTTGCATAAAATCAGCTTCCTTATTATTTTTCATCACTTTTGTTACTTGTTTGCTGTTGAAGGATTTAACTCTGCTGGGTCAGAGAGCGCGGTACCAGCTGCAGTCACAGTCGGGCGTCCGTCTGTGAGCTGTGATACTAAAATCTGTTAACTCTGACACTGCGTCTGAATACACGATCACATACACAGACATTCATGATGTTATTGTTATTATTTGTAGACCGATGTTTTTGAGATATTCACACACACATGCAGTCTGAATAATGACTTCAACCAGTCAAACAGTTATTAATGTCCCTTATTGTTCCAAACAAAGTTACAGCAACATTTTTACAGATTAAACTAAAATGATTCTCCTTTATTGACGTTTACCTGCAAACATCAATAATCTAAACTCATTGCTGCCATTAAGTATTCACACATGTAATAGAAGAAAACAACAGCAATAATTATTATTATAATAATAATACATTTAATATTAAATATTTGAAGAATTTAACAAACGCTGAATCCAGTTTTAAAGTATGAACATAGATAAAAAGGTTTCAGTCCCACACGGGTGGGAGGTAAATTAAATAAGTTATTTATTTAAGCTGTTAAACCCACAAACCAAAGAAAAAAACATCTGTGAATCCAACTTTTGGTTTTTCTTTCTCTTATCAGCACGTGAGGTTTAGGTGACATCACGGTTAGTGTGTGTAGCCAAAAATTACATCTGAACAAAGACAATTCTGCTCATTTCATTCATAGTTTCACTTTCAGCTGCACCACCCTCACAGCTGGAATTTGCCTCAGGTCAAAATAATCAAACACGAAGATACAAACATGCTTCTAGTTAATATAGATATATCAATAAAATCTCCACCAGACACCACTCACTGGTTTCTTGACTCTGATTTCTGTGAATCTTCAGTGTTAACATTTTGACCACTGCTGTGTTGTCTTTTTGTCTTTTCTTTTGTTCTTCGAGGCAGAACCCACATTACTGCGCCACATGTTGCATCCACAGCTTTAAGTTATTACACTAGAGTTCATCAAACAGAGTCAACAGTAGAGAAATCTGACTGTGCTTCAACACAACAAGAATAAAAAGCATTTCAAAAATGTACCTGCTGATCCACTTTAAATGTCGTCTGAGCAGAGAATCACTTTTGCTTTGCTGTGAACTGTACAGCACAAAAGCACTGAGGACTCTTTTGTTGGTATTTAGAGAATTCAGACAGCTCTGACCCTTCAATCTCACTTCACTCAGTGTAAAACATTTATAACGGATCATTTATTTTCCCATGATACTGCCTGCCCACTGTAAATGGACGTGGATAGTTCATTGACTGCAAGCAGGCTGGTTGACATGTGTGCCAGAATAGGGAAGCAGCAGCGTTCACCAGGAGAAATCTAAAAAACCTGCAGATAGTGGCTTCAGTGACACTGTTCCTATCACGCAGTTTCACTTCAGCTCTTTGTATGTTGGCTGCTAGATGGTACAACAACAGCACAGACAGGAGTGGCCCACAGACTGACCTCTGCCTCCATCTGACAACAGGGCTCTCTGCTGGTGTCAGAATCGTTGTACCTTAAATAAAAGTGACACTTTGACTGAACTCCCAGGAGTCAGAGTTCTGTAGATGAAGCACTCCAGTGTTATCCAACGTGAAACGAGGTGTAGTTGCCTCTGTCTGAATGTTATCATGGAAAACGGACTGGTTCTTATATACCACTTTTTAAACCTTTAAGTGCCTCAGTCACTTATTCATACAAGTATGAGTGTTTTCTATCAAACATTTGCACTCCGACAGATCACACATCACAGAGTAACTTGGGGTTAGTATCTTGCCTCCCCAGACTGGAGCAGCCCACAACAAACCAACAACATTCACTTGATTTGTGTTACTTCCAGTTTCCCAGCATGCTCTGGCTGTGGTGGTGGAGGTGAATGAGGGAGAAAGGTCTGTCCTGCTGCCCTGTCTGTACTCAGGTTCTACACCTGAGGACAATCCCACAGTGACGTGGACTTGCAGTGACCTCGATCCCAAATCTGTACACTTACGAAGAGCAGGAGGAGATGATCTTAGAGGACAAAACCAGCGTTACAGAGAACGTACATCAATGAATCGTTACGCCCTAATCACAAAGGACTTCAGCCTCACGCTGAGGAAACCCACAAAGACTGACAGCGGCAACTACACCTGCTCCATCAGCAATGGAAGACAAGAACGGAGACTCAGAGACATCCAGCTGAAGGTCAAAGGTTAGCAAAAACTTCAACAACTGCTGTAATTACTGGTCATAAGTCAGTACTGTATACAAAGTTCAGAGGTCAAACTAAAAAAACTATTTCCATCGTTTTTGTTCAGCTTCTGGTCAGAGGCGAGTTCATGTCAGGGAGGTCACCACACACATGTCTGTACATATATTTATAATTGCTAGCTGACTTTTTACACATCACTCAACATGAAACGAAAAGACCCAGAGAGTAGGGCTGGGCCATATCACACCGTTCACGGTAATAACCGTATGATGTTGGGCAATGATAAGAAAACGAAATATCGCGATAGAATATGGGTAAAACGCGCATGCGCAGTGCCTTTGTTTTCATACGCACATGGCGGAAAAAGCATGGCAGAGAATGATAAGGGCGAAAGCGGATCGTTGAATGAAACAGATGAACCAGAACTGGTTTGTAAAAATGCTGCAACTTCAGTGGTGTGGAACTGGTTTAGCTTTCATCCGTCAGATACACAACAAAGCACTATTTTTGCTAGAGCATGCTAGCGGGCTGTCGTTATTACCGTGTTTTTTGGAAAATACGGCACATTTAAAATCAATCCTTTGATTTTTCTGAAAGTCGACAATGCCCCTTATAATCCTGTGTGCCTTATGTATGAATTCTGGTTGTGTTTACTGACCTCAAAACGATTTTCTGTGGTACACGGCGCTCGAAAATCTGTCAAATGTTTTAGTACGACTTTGCTAAGCTACGAACCCGCACCGCTTGATGGATTGTTGGAGCATTACGGCTATCGTAGGCAGGAGCCTCGCGGAGTGATACGTACTGTGCTTCAACATAATATTACCGTATTGTGTGTGTATAACCTCTTTTTAAGTTTTGTGGATATTATACATGGTTATGTTCAGGATATGTCGGCCAGTTTGGAAATGGAAATGCCTTTTGGTTAAACTGACAGCAAGGAATTTGCATTTGCACTGCAAATTTTTTATATAACTTTAATGCACATAAAAAAACAGCTGCTTGTTTAAGTGAAAATACATTGATGGGTTTTTTGCACTAATAAAGTTGTGGAGTTGTAAAGTATTTTGTCTAGTGTCAATTATATCGTCAGTTATCGCAAATTTTCAAATGTATATCATGATAAATACTTTTGGCCATATCGCCCTGCTTTACCAGAGAATATTATTAATGTTTGGTGGACAGAGGTCAGGATTGTGCTTCAGCTACCATCAGTATTACTATAGTACAGTCCTATAGTTGATACTGCGGTTTCTTGTCCTCTCAGACCAGCAGGTGGACGTGAAGGTGAGGGAAGGGTCACAGTCTGTCATCCTGCCCTGCAAAACAACACCTGACCTGCCTGAGGCCACCAGAGTGGAGTGGACTCGCTCTGACCTCGGACTCATGACGGTCCATGTGTATGCAAACAGGAATGATGAAGTCATGACTCAGGATGGATTTTACAGAGACCGAACGAAGATGAATGAAGACCTGCTGAGAACTGGAGACCTCAGTCTGACCCTGAAACAGCCCACAGAGAGAGACAGTGGACGATACATCTGCACCGTCTACAGGGACAAAGACATCCTGACACAGAAAGTAGTGCTGCAGGTCAAAAGTCAGTGCTGGAGATCTAAGTACAGGTCAGAGGTCAATATTGTGGACAGAGGTCAGAGATCAGAAGTCACATTTTTTAATGTTTCTCCACAGAACCATTTCCATCCTGGGCCACAGCTCTCCTGGTTCTCCTGGGTCTTCTTGTGGTTTCTGGAGGTCTTCTATATTATTTCCGGCACTATTTCATGTCAGGTGAGTGTCTCCTACTACACTACCCATAATGCCGATGGTCAGCAGGTGTCCTCTGGTGGCTCCTTGACTGTGGCTCACACAAACTTGTTCCAGAAGCTGAAAGAGTTGAGTTACAAACAGCTGATACAGAGAGCTGAAGAGAAACTTCCAGGTTTGTTCCAGAAGTCAGAAAACCTCCTTCAGACTCAGTCATTGATCAGTGAAACAGCTCCACAACATGACTTTACTAAACAGTGTGTGTGCTTCACTGCATTGATCTGACACAGAGGCTGCATGTGGACAAGCTGTTCTTCTTCTGTGGTGGTAAACAGCAGCTGACATGGAAACATGCTGACAGTAAATGTTGCAGCAGCTTCAGTAAATGTTCCTCCTTGAGTTGTGCTCAGTCATGTGGTGGAGAGCTTCAGATGTTCAGACACATGAGATCTTCATGGTTTCTGTGCTGATGTGTGTGAGACATGGCCGACTGTGGAGGCTCAGTCTGTCTGTTCTTCTTCATCCAACATGTCTGCAGCACTTTACAGGACGCTGCAGACGAGTTACCAAAGAACGAGTGAGGAACACATCAGGAACAAACTGAGACACAATCTGACTGAGACCAGAAGACAAGGAGGGACAGGGAGGTCATGTGACCATCACAGCTGCTGCTGATGTCATCATGTTGTGCTTTGTTGTTTTCTCAGATTACAAGGTGTTGGTGGATTCAGGGGTGGAGTCTGTCCAGCTGCCCTGCAAAGCTATAGTCAGATTCCTCCAAGACACTAGAGTGGAGTGGAAGGACAGAGACGACAGGAAGGTCCATGTGTATGAGAATGGACGTGACCAGCCTGGAGAACAGCACCGGTTTTACAGAGGACGAACAGAGATGAAGAGAAACCTGCTGAAATTTGGAAACTTCAGTCTGACCCTGAAACACCCCACAGATGATGACAGCTCCACCTACACCTGCACCATCAGCAGGAAGGGAAACTTGCTGAAGAAGAAACAAGTGGAGCTCCATGTCAGAGGTCTGAACATAGTTTCGTACAATAAACATATTTTATATTTGACACTATTTCCTCTCCATACTTCAGCCTCTTGGCCAGTTTTGGTTCTCAGTGGTTTAGAAAGGCAGAGCTTATTGATCAGCAGCAGACTGGATGAAATAAATCATCATAAAACTGAATGATCGTTTATCAGCTCACTGATGAATGGTATAGATTATTTTGTATTTCTTTAAGTAGAGCTGCAGAGTTCATGAAAAAATAAATCTTGTCATAGACAAACCTGATTTGATTTGGATGGACTTTATCTCTGCTGCTGATTGGACATAAATAAAACAAAGAAACTGTTTATTTTCAGTGGGGCAGTTGGACATGTTTCAGACTGGAACCTGTCAAACATTTCATTGAAAATATGTCATTTGAACCAGTCAAAAATGCTCAGAGTTGCTTTAGTCTGTACGACTGATGTTGTGTTTGTTGTCCTCTCAGTCCCCCAGGAGGAGGTGGTTTCAGGGGCGGAGTCTATTCTGCTGCCCTGCAAAACTACCATAAACCTGCCTGAAGTTGCTAAAGTAGAGTGGAAGACCAGATTCAACAGGAAGGTCCACGTGTATGAGAACAGATCTGACCAGCTTCAAGATCAGGACCACCGTTACAGAGACCGAACAAAGATAAATGAAGACCCGCTGAGAACTGGAGACTTCAGTCTGACCCTGAAATACCCCACAGACTGGGACACAGACACCTACACCTGCACCGCCTACAGCAGGGAGGGAAACATCCTGATGAAGAAACAAGTGGAGCTGAAAGTCAAAGGTCAGTGCTGTTTTGTGTGTGTGAGCTGCAGATGCCATTGAAACTTGAGAAAGTGTAATAACTCCAACTGTACATATCTTGTCCATTTAACACATTTATTGCTCGCCAATGGTTGTATTCATAGTTTATTCATAGTTTAACAGTTCCTCTTAGTATTCAACATCATTGAACATTGATCACAACAACCTTAAGGTCCTACTGACCAATAACACCTGATGGTAATTAAATGTACCTACCTTAAAAACTGTACCAAAAAGACATATCATGGTGTAAAAACAGAGGCACACAAACATAAATGGCTCCTAAAGCCCGGCCCCTTATGCACCAGACTTGACAATTCTAATTATAAAGAAAATAGGAAGCTATTAATAAAGTGTATTTTAGACACACAAAACCAAACCAAAGCCCTCTGCAGAAGACTTTTCAAAAAAAAAAAAAGATATCTCCAGGTTTTAGACAGGTCTGCTTCTGTGCTTCAGCTTTCTCTACAACTCTGAAAACCTGCTGCTGCTACAGCTCATGTTGTGTTTGTTGTCCTCTCAGTCTGCCATAAGGAGTTAGAGGAGGAGGAGTCTGTCGAGCTGCCGTTCAAAACCTCAGAAAACCTGCCTGAAGATGCTGAAGTGGTGTGGAGGGACAGCAATGACAGGAAGGTCCACGTGTATAAGAACGGCTCTGACCAGCCTGGAGAACAGCACCAGCTTTACAGAGACCGAACGGAGATGAACGAAGACCTGCTGAAAACTGGAGACCTCACTCTGACCCTGAAACAGCCCACAGATGGAGACAAAGGAGGATACAGCTGTAGAGTCTACGGGGAGATCCAGAGATACAAAAGAGTGCTGCTCAGAGTCAAAGGTTTGTGTGGTTTCCATGTGGTGGGGTGCGAGGCAAATACTGATGTATATAGTGAAATCCACGTCATCAAGAACTGTGAAGAACAGCTTGCTCTAAACTGGAACAAATTATAGAGAAATGGACCAACAGTGAAGTCCAAGCTTTGTTAGAGGTCCAGGCCTGCGCACACACAGTGTAAACACAGTGAAACTACAGAGTACTGTGAGGAGATACAAAAGCTCCTTCTTCTGTTCTACTCAGAAACCCACTGCTGCTGTCTGTACAGCTCATCTTTTGTTTGTCGTCTTCTCAGACTGTCAGGTGGAGGTGGACAAGAGGGAGGCGCCTGTCCAGCTGCCATTTAAAACAACAGCAAACCTGCCTGGAGATACCAAGGTGCAGTGGAAGGTCAGTGGTGATAGGATGGTCCATGTGTATGAGAACGGCTCTGACCAGCCTCACAAACAGCACCAGGATTACAAAGACCGAACAAAGATGAAGGAAGACCTGCTGAAAACTGGAGACCTCAGTCTGACCCTGAAACAGCCCACAGAGAGAGACAGTGGAGAATACAGATGTGAAGTCGACGGGGAGGTCAAGAGAAACAAAACAGTGCACCTCAAAGTCAAAGGTTTGCTTGTGTCTCTGTGTGTACATGTTTTGACATCTTTGTGAGGACACAAACCTGGCATGCTACAATACTTGTGGAGTCTACTTGTGGGGACAAAATGCCCATTTCGATGAGTTCGAAGCCATTTTTGAGTCTCAAATTGTGGTTTAAGTGTAAGTGTAGCAGCAATCTTCAGTCCTTCGTTTCCGCTTCTGCAGGACAAAAATCTTCTGGCTCGTGCTTTTCTAACATAGTTTGTATGCCACTGAAACTGAAAACTGCAAAACAAATATCTCCAGTTGGAGCCCAGTTTGTATTTTCCTGATATTATACCAAAAACAACTATAAACAGCAACGGTTAGAAAACTGTTGCTCCTGATTACTTGCCTAACCTTTCATCAACACGTGGCAGCTCAATACGACCACGTTTACGACACCTACCAACACTTTAAAACCACACAACAGATGAACAAATCAGAACAAATTTACAGAGCATAATATATCAGATTACAACATAAAATAACCAAGATTAAAATTAGAAACAGTGGTTAGGTTTAGGGTTAGGACTTCATTTTTGATGTTTAAGGTAAGCAGCTTGGGAAAGCATTATGTCAGTGACATGTCCCCACAAGGATGTAAATACATACAAACGTGTGTGTGTGTGTCTGACTGTGTTGTGTCTCCTCTGCAGGGAATGTTCAGGATCAAACAGGACAACCAGAAGCAGCTCCATTGATCGGAGTCCTCTGATGGCTGATCAATCAGTTTGATCTGTGTGTTCTTTGATTATTGATCAGTGATGTCAGAGTGGAGTCAGTGTGATGTTGTTGTTGTGTGTTTGAGACTTTTAGTGTCCATGAAGGTCTCTGCTGCCGTAGATCCTCTGAACTGTGACAGAGGTCTCACTCTGGAGGAAACTCTCAGCACTTTCATTTTATTTACAGCACTTGAGATTATTTATTTATTATAGATTATGATCGTGGCTCAAGAGTTGGGAGTTCGCCTTGTAATCGGAAGGTTGCCGGTTCGAGCCCCGGCTTGGACAGTCTCGGTCGTTGTGTCCTTGGGCAAGAC